CCCCCCGAACCCCCCCTGGCTACGGGCCTGTAGTAATACTAATAAATTATGAAGTACTAGGCCGTGGCTACGCGACCGGTTCCGGACGAGGAGCCGCTAGGCTACGCGTCCGGACAACCATCTCACACAGTGAGCTTGCGACACGTACACGCATGATTGCCGTGTGTGTGTGTGTGTGTGTGTGTGAGAGAGAGAGAGAGAATGGGAATGTGTATATGTGTGTGTATGCGAGAGAGAGAGAGAGAGCCTCGGAGAGGTGTGTGTGTGAGAGAGAGCGAGAGAGAGCTGCGCGCGTGTGTGTGTGTGTGAGAGAGAGAGAGAGAGCAGTAGAGGACGGATGAAAGGATAGATGGCAGCAGAGCGTCCCGTTGCGCAATCATGCGTGTACGCGAGTTGCACGATCAATGTGTGAGCACAGGCACTTGAAGCGCTTCAATAAAATATAATGCTAATTCTAAATACGAAATCTATTTATTACCAAATTCTTAATGTTTCTATACTCTCTTTCGCCTATTATTGCCGACAGTCTCCTGTAAATTCTGTCCAAATCCTACGTGCAACCATATACGCTGCCGGCGGCCATTGCTCTCCCGGCTCCACTGTTGTACTTGCACGGTTACACTAATATATATAGCAGGTAGGAAAGCAGGATCGCAAAATTCGCTCGACGCTCGCTTGATTTCACACTTTAACAGCACGAATACACATCCAACAGCTGCCATCTTTGTTTCTATGTCAAGAACAGTGTTCACTTGTTATAAAAAAAATACTGTCTCTGTTCGTAACCGAGCTGTGTCATGCGAAATCACACAAATACTGACAAAATTCTCGCGTTCGCGAACCTTGCCCAGTAATGAGTAACGCCACTGATTTCCGCAGGCAACGCCAGGTATCCCGCTAGTTACAGTAATAAAACAGCATATCATGTTCTTCCTTGTGTTTATTAGTCATTATCAATGTCCATAATCATAATCCACTTTGACAGCACAGAGACAGACTGGTAGTATGGTACACATCGGTAGCAACGTAGTAGCGTCTCATAACATTGCGAGTGGAGCCGTCATACGTACACCAGTCTAACCATGTGTCGATCATACAGTCATGTCGATTGGTCGAAATCTGAGACACTTGCTCAGGCCAAACCCACGGTCACCCACCAATGAGAAACGATTTCATGTTACTCGCAGCTAATTCCGCACGCGACTGGCAACTTGCCCTTTAGTTTACTACACTTTGGTGCGCAGCTTGGAAAAGGGTTCCAGGCTATCGCTCTTTCATTTACAATCAGGCTGCGCGAATATGCAGTGGGCGAACGCATTGTTTACATGTATGTCACGGTTTATCACGGATTAGTTTTCAAATAAATACCCCTGGAAGTTAACATGCAAGAAAAGATTTCTACAGGTAACAGTTTCTCAGTGTTTCGAATTTTCGGTGATCAAATAGCTGTAGGATCAGCGGGCCTGTTTTATCAAGAAGCTGTAGGCCCGGCATCGAAACTGTTGCTGCCCTTAATTTCGAATCCTGATAGCAGTGGAAAAGCTAAGAGTACGAATATTAATTGTAGCTCTAATTCAATATGTTGCAGAGCTCTAGACTAGTAACTATAGGCCTCATATGTCTCCTGAACTGCTCTATAATGTGGCATATTTAATTTGCCAGCTATGACTGAGTCAGAAAATGGGTTAGATTGTATGGTACTTGTTAGTATATTATTGTGGTATTCTATACTGACTTAAGTGATGGTTATTCTAGATTTCTGCTAAAGTCCAAGCGATTGACACAGACATAGTTTGCACAGCATTTGCTGACAAAACTTTCATCATCGTTACCCAACTTGGTAAAATTGGAGGACTGGTAATTATACAATTGCTTGTTACTAGTATAGATTTCTATACCGTTTAATATTGTGTTCTGAATAATATTACTGGAATCAATTAACAGGCTATGAAACAACCAGAACTGAAACAATAATCAACTCAAACAAAAACCTAATTACAGAAACTAGTAATTCTCTTGTTTCGCTGTATTGTCGCAGTAGATTATGCTAATATTCCCTAGTATTAAATTAGTAAATTCCTTCATTATTTATGTATCATAGTACATTGAAAATGGATCTGCATGTTATCAGTCAGGTCGGCTGTAATAATTATTACAGATACTGGTTACCAAGGACAACGTAGTTGGGGACTGCAAAGAGCCAACCTTCTCTGTCAGGGTTCTTTTGGGCAAGGACGACGTAAGTGTATTTTGGCTGAACAGATTGACTGTGCAGTTTGGTTTAATGAAAGGTGGTGAGACATGTGTTTAAAATGTTAATAAATTCAGTAGTGAAAGCGATATTGTTCTACTAAAGTAGGTAGGCATGAGAATGCTATGATAAACAGTCAAGCCCCTTGAAGAAAATCTCTTGACCATTTGAAACCAACCAACCAACCAACCCACCAACCAACCGACCGACGATGTTGACCATGAAAATATTCTGTCGATTCAATTCGATACACACACACACGTGCATGCACACACTGCTCTATGGAAATGTACACGATAACCCTCTCATTAGCTTTCAAGTGCAGAGCGTCTCGTGCTAACGCTGCTCTCCTGTAATTCTAGGCGGTGCACTGCGTGATTGCGAGGAGGATCGCGGCCGTGACGGGACTAGAGAAGCCCGTCCTCGTCGCGTTGGCGCTGAAGGACACGTCCGTGGCGACGGCTCGCGAGCTCGAAGAGCTGGTGCGTACCTGCTCCGTGTGGTGATCCGCACGACCCCACCATCGGCGCCGCGCGCTCGATGTCTGCTGGATCAAAGTGCCAGGTCTGCAGTGCACAGCGGCAGCGCTACCGGTGTCCCACCTGTCGAATCCCCTACTGCTCCGTCGCGTGCTTCAAGGTGCACAAGGAGAATCGTTGCGAGGCGAAGGAGGAGGTCGCGAGGACGGCGCCGCGCGGAGGAGGAGGAGACGTGCGAGTCGAGGACGCGATCGGAGAGAGCGGCGACAGGGTCGCGTCGGAGACGCTCGATTGGCTGCGGTCGAGCGAGGAGGTCAAGGATCTGCTGAGCAATCCTCACCTGAGAGCGATCATTAGGGAGCTGAACGCGAGCGCGTCCGTGCCGCAGTTCATCGACAAGTGCATGCGAGAGCCGATCTTCACGGAATTTGCCAACGCGTGCCTGCGCTCGGTGCGAGAGGGACCGGCGGGCGTGCCAGAGGCCGCGGACGCCATCTCTGACGAAGACGACACGAACTGAACGTTCCCGTCCGGTTTGGCGGTATTAATGATTGCAAAGCTGATGTCGCATACGTTGTAGAGCATTTCAAAGGTGATATTACGTACGTTATAAAGCATTGCATAGGTTATGTATTGAACATTGTGAATCATTGCGAAGCTGATGTTGCATACATTATAAAGCATTGCAAGGGTAATGTTGCGTACATTGTAAATCATTTCAAAGGTGATATTGCATACATTATTACACATTGAAACGTTGATATATTGTGTACATTGTAAAGCTTCAAAAGGTGATATTGTGTATATTCTAAAGCATTCCAAAGGTGATATCAGACACGTTCTAAAGCGTCAGGGGTGATATTGCGTACATAGCAATTCATTATCAAGGTGATATCGTGTGTATTGTTATGCTTATTGTTCTGCAATTTTAAAACATTGTCAGCGTGATATTGCATACATTGTTAAGCATTGTCAGTGTGATATTGCCAGGAGTAGATTGTCATTATCTACCCCTGATATCGCATACACTGTTAAGCATTGTTATTGTGACATTGCCTACATTCATAAGCATTGTCAGTGTGACATTGTGCACAAAGCGAGTGCACATCGTAGAAAAAAAGTAACCCACGGCACCGAGAAGCTTTCAGCCTCAATATCGTCGTCGTATCATCGTATATCAATGTCGTCGGTAATGTCGCACAAGATGGCGGCCGGCAACTGCGGCGACGGTCCGCGAGCGCTCATCGGCCCGTCGATCCTCAACGCCGACCTCGCCGACCTTGCGGCCGAGTCGAACCGGCTGCTGGATGCCGGCGCCGACTACCTCCACCTGGACGTCATGGACGGCCACTTCGTGCCGAACCTGACCATCGGCCACCCCGTGATCAAGTGCCTGCGGCGGCGCGTGCCCGCGGCCTTCTTCGACATGCACATGATGGTCGAGCGGCCGGAACGCTGGGTGCAGCCGATGGCCGACGCCGGCGCCGACCAGTACACGTTCCACGTGGAGGCGGCGGGCGACGTCGCGGCGATGGTGCGGCACGTGCGCGAGGCCGGGATGCGCGTCGGAGTCGCGCTGAAGCCGGGCACGGCCGTCGACGTCGTCACGCCGTGGGTCGATCGCGTCGACATGGTGCTCGTGATGACCGTCGAGCCGGGGTTCGGTGGACAGAGCTTCATGGCCGACATGATGGCGAAGGTGAGCACGCGTGGGGTGCGGTGGTGTATGGGGTTGGTGGGTGGTGTGTGTGTGTGTGTGTTCGAGCGTGGGGTGGGGGTAAGGTGGTGTGTGTCTGGGGTGGGGTGGGTTCGGTGGACAGAGCTTCATGGCCGACATGATGGCGAAGGTGAGCACGCGTGGGGTGCGGTGGTGTATGGGGTTGGTGGGTGGTGTGTGTGTGTGTGTGTTCAAGCGTGGGGTGGGGGTAAGGTGGTGTGTGTCTGGGGTGGGGTGGGTTCGGCGGAGAGAGCTTCATGGCCGACATGATGGCGAAGGTGAGCACGCGTGGGGTGCGGTGGTGTCTGCTGTAGGTGGGTGGTGTGTGTGTGTGTGTTCAAGCGTGGGGTGGGGGTAAGGTGGTGTGTGTCTGGGGTGGGGTGGGTTCGGCGGAGAGAGCTTCATGGCCGACATGATGGCGAAGGTGGTGAGCGCGCGTGGGGGTGGTGAGTGCGCGTGGGGGTGGGGTGGAGAGGGATGGGGTGGGCGGAGTACAGCTCATCGTAAGCGCTTGTGCAAGGGTGTGGGCTGGGTGGGATGGGGGTAAGTGCGTGTGGTCGTGTGGGGTGGATGGGATAGGAGTAGAGCTGACCCTGAGCGCTCGTGCAGGGGTGAGGGGGTCGAGGATGATTTTGGAGAGGGTGAGGGTAGTGTTGTCGTCTTTGCGGGGAAGCAGATTTGGAGACTGGGTTAAAGGCCCGCAAACGGTGCAAGAAAGTTTTGTTATTTGCTGCTAGGTGGAATGTATTTTCGGGAGAATTGTTTGAGATGAGTGTAGAAAGTCTAAATAATGTATTTTCGTGCATGATTCTAGTGGGGCAGTGGGGTAAGTCTACACTACCGTTATATCGCAAAAAAACACTGTTGTGCATGAGCTAAACGTTTCACTTGTTACTTAAGGGTTTCGTAAGTGGCTATGCAGCCAGGTATTTCAACTCTGACGTTTAAGTCCACGCGGTTGGCCTATGAAGCCAACGTTCCTCTCTTCTTTATAGTGTTAGATTTTCTGGTGATTATGGGGACTTGAAACGTTTTTCTGTCGTTTTTTTTTCAACTCTGACGTTTGTAAGTCCCCAATTATGAAGCGAAAATTCCTCGCTATTCTTTCTAATGTTTCTTTCTTTTCTTCTCTCTTTTTTCTGGTGATTAATGGGTCTTTAAACGTGTTTTTCTTTCCGTCGCAGGTGCGGTATCTCCGTGAGAACTTCAAAGACCTCGACATTGAGGTCGATGGAGGGGTCGGGCCGGTGAACATCGACGCGTGCGCCGACGCTGGCGCCAACATGATCGTCAGCGGCACGGCGCTGGTGACGAGCAGCGACCCCGCGCAGGCGATGATGACGATGCGCACGAGCGTCACGCGCGGACTCGACGCCTTCAAGAAGGTCTAGCGCGCGTGACGCAGGGCTGTGTGTGTGGGGAAAGGTCTAGCGCGCGTGACGCAGGGCTGCGTGCGTGGCTAGGTTCTCAGCGAGTGGGGCTAGCGTCTAGCGCGCGGTGAATGCAGTGCTGCGCGTTGGGGCTAGTCTAGCGCGCGGTGACGGCAGAGGCTGCGCGCGTGACGGCAGGGCTGACGCGCGTTGACGCAGGGCTTGCGCGCGTGACGGCAGGGCTGCGCAGCGTGACGGCAGGGCTTCGCGCGCCTGTGACGTAAAGGGCTGCGCGGCGTGAACAAGCAGGGCCTGCGCGCACAGTGACGCAGGGCTTGCGCGGCGTGAACGCAGGGCTGCGCGCGCTGACGCAGGCTTGCGCGGCGTGAACAGCAGGCGCGCGGCGTGACGTGCAGGGCTGCGCGCGTGACGCAGGGCTGCGCAGCGTGACGCAGGCTGCGCCGTGACACGGCAGGGCTGCGCGCGTGACGCCGGGCTGCGCGCGTGACGCCGGGCTTGCGCGTGTGGGCGTAGGTCTAGGCGCGCGTGACGCCGGGCCTGCGCGCCGGTGAGCCCGGCTGCGGGCGCGTGACGCCGGGCTGCGCGCGTGACGCGCGGGCTGCGTGCGTGGGCTAGGTTACGCAGCGTGACGCAGGGCTGCGCGCGTGACGGGCCGGCTGCGCTGCGTGACGCCGGGCTGCGTGCAGTGATCGCAGGCTGCCGCGGGTGACGCCGGGCTGCGTGCGCTGGGGCTAGTCTAGGCGCGCGTGACGCGCGGGCTGGCGCGCGTGACGCCGGCGCTGGCGCGCGTGACGCCGGGCTGCGTGCGGGGTAGGTCTAGCGCGCGTGACGCAGGGGCTGTGCGCTGCCGTGACGTCGGGCTGCGCGCGTGACGCCGGGCTGCGCGTGTGGGCTAGGTCTAGCGGCGCGTGATGCAGGCTGCCGTCGTCGGGGCTTAGTCTAGCGCCGCGCGTGAGTGGCAGTGCTTGCGGCGTGGTGGGCTAGGTTAGCGGGCGCGGTGATGCAGGCTGCGGCGTGTGGGGCTAGTCTTAGCCGCGCGTGACGCCAGGGCTGTTGCGCGTGGGTCTAGGTCTAGCGCGCCTGACGCAGGCTGCGTGCGTGAGCTAGGTCTAGCGCGCGTGACGCAGGGCTGTGCGCCGTGGGTCTAGGTCTAGCGGGCGCCTGACGCAGGCTGCGTGCGGAGGGCTAGGTCTAGCGCGCGTGACGGCAGGGCTGCGCGTGTGGGGCTAGGTCTAGCGCGCGGTGAACGCAGGCTGGCGCGTGTGGGCTTAGGTCTAGCGCGCGTGACGCGCGGCTGCGGCGTGGGTGGCTAGGGTCTTAGCGCGCCTGACCAGGCTGCGCGTGTGGGGCTAGGTCAAGCGCGCGTGACGCAGGGCTTGCGGCGTGTGGGGCTAGTCTAGCCGCGCGTGACGCGCGGGCTGCGCGGCCTCGTGGGGTAGGTCTAAGCGCGCGTGACGGCAGGGCTGCGTGCGTGGCCTAGGTCTAGCCGCGCGCGTGACGCAGCTGCACGCGTGACGCAAGGCTGCGCGCGACGGCTAGTTAATGGCGCGCGTGACGCAGGGCTGGCGGCGGCGGTGGGGCTAGGTCTAGCGCGCGTGGGGCTAGGTCCTAGCCGGCGCGTGACGGCAGGGCCTGCGCGCGTGGGGCTAGGTCTAGCGCGCGTGGGCTAGGTCTAGCGCCCGCGCGTGGGGCCAGGTTCTAGGCGCGCGTAGACGCAGGCGCTGCACGCGTGAAACGGGCCAAGGCTGCGCGCGCGGGTAGCTCTAGGCGCGCGTGAGCGCAGGCTTGCGCGCGTGGGGCTAGTCTAGCGCGCGTGGCTAGTCTAGCGCGCGTGGACCCAGGCTGCGCGCGTGGGGCTAGTAATAGCGTCGCGGTCGTGTGGGCCTAGGTCTAGCGGGCCCGTGGTGGGGGCCAGGTCTAGCGCCGCGGTGACGCAGGGCTGTGCGCGTGGTGCGGCCTAGGTCTAGCGCGCATGAACGCAGGGCTATGGCGCGCGCGGGGCTAGGGCCTACGGGCAGCAGTGACGCAGGGCTGCGCCGCGTGACAGCAGGTCTAGGCGCGGCGTGACGCAGGGCTGCACCGCGTTGAAGGCGAGGCTGGGGCGTTTGAGAGGGTCTGAGGCGTGCGTCAGCGCGCGGTCTCACGGCGTTCAAGTGTCAGCTCGCGTGACACGGGTCCGCATGCGTTTGAGATGGTCTAGCGTGCGTCACGCGCAGCCCTCAACGCGTTCAAGGAGTAGCTCGCGTGACGCGGGTCCAGCATACGTTTTGAAGATGGTCTTCAGCGTGTGTCAGGGCGTGCAGGGCTCAACGCGTTCAAGGTGTAGCTCGGTGTGACCGGTCCACCTGCGTTTGAGAGGGTCTAGCATGCGTCACGCGCAGCCTCAACGCGTTCAAGGTGTAGCTCGCGTGACACGGGGTCCACCTGCGTTTGAGATGGTCTAGTGCGTGTTACGTAGGAGGCGCACACGTTCAATGTCTATCGTGTTACGTGGAACCCACGCATGCACACGGAAAGGTATAGCGCTGCGCCGTCTAGTGCTATGTTGATTGAAATCCTAATCGCTGTTCAGATATCTATCATTAAATATAGGTTGAAATATTGATTTTTCTTTGTAAGCGCACATGCTGTCAGCATTGACTTTATTATGTACTCTGTAGATTGTCACGATCTCAGTTGTGTCAGGTATATATAGGTATATGTGAAGGCATTTGACGTTATTTTGTTGCATACTGCTACGTCGAAGTACGTAGTAGTTAGTATGCTGTATACAGTTAAACGTGGTGCTTTCTATAGATGAAGCTAAACCTCGTTATAATGTTGAACTAACTATGGCATTATGGATTGATACTAGTGTACTGAAGAATTTATGTTGAAGTGTATTAGATGAAAACATGGAACAAAAATACGTTTTCTGGAAATAATTTTTTATTATGCTTCTTAACTGAATGGCAAGCACTTTTACATTCTGTACAACTCGGGAATGACGACATGCTGATGATCTCAAGGAAACTGTACAAAATTTACAAAAAAAACCCTGCTGCCTTAGGTCCGCTCTCACAACATACATCTAAATTGATTGCCCATTAGATCTCATTGCAATTACACGTATGCAGTCAAATGCCAATTACTAAATTGCCGAACAAATGTGATACCTGACGTATGGGAACACGCTGCCGCTACATGTGATAGTGGCACTACGGCACAACGACTCGTTAGTACTCATTACCAAATTACGCATTGTCTTTATCTAAGTCAATGCCGTCACCAAACAGCTCACATACCAAGCAGAGACACTATCACACTGGTCACACGAGCAACTAAGTCGCTGACCGTTTAAACCCACTCTTCCCAAGGCCAGGTCACCTTTCTAAACAATTAATATAGTTTGCCAATGAAACCATTGCGAGATTACAATTGATTATGAGAATATAATGGTTATTTACTAAGCAACTACAGTGGCAGAACTATAATCTATAGCAAGTTAGATAATCTCTGTACAAAATCGATCTTTCTTGGGAAATACACAAATTACTCCAAAATAGATTTCCCACCTGAGATGTGCGATGGAAACAGAATGACTTGCTGCAAAATTGTGAACACGTGAACGACATGCGAACAAGTGTCTCCGATATCAAATATACAAAGACAGCACCAATATTGCGTTTGAACAGACTACACTAGCAAACCTCATCTTCAAGTGTTAAATGGTATCAAAGTGCAAAACACGTGCAGGTGATAGTCGCGTTGTGTGTGGTGGGATACCACATCTTCTATCGGAAAAACTCCCACGTGACAATATCACTCTATGACTAAAACTGTTATTACACGCTTACTAACTAACTAACCAGACAATTGTGATTTGGTCCCACATAGCAACAACAACAATGACAGTACGAAGCTAATTCACAGAACCACACTAACAGCTATGACTACTCACAAATCATGGCTTCAATTCCGCAAGATCTGCTACTAACACATAAACGTGGCAATGATTTATTTACAGCAGTTCCACAGCGTGGATGCAGGGATTTGCATAGAAGCAGTTGCACCAAACATGAGACGTAACTTTGGAAGAAGTTTATAAAAACCCAATGCCTAACCTGTTCTTATCAAATACAAGACCTTACCAGAGAAAGATATAAAAACCGTATTGAGATAATAGCTATTAAAACAAATTTCAGACCCCAAAAGGACGGAAAAATAATATCGATAACTGGATGTAAACATCAACTCAAAATAAACAGAATGCCACGAGGTCGTAACAAAGGTCCATAATACTGGATTGCAAGGAATACGCCTCTTAAATCTGGCATCTGGGGCAGCCTAAAAAGCTTTAACACAAACAGTTTAACAGATGTATATTTCAGAGACTCACAAAAACTCCAAACAGAAACTAACGAAATATCTGACATGCATTGTAGATTCGGGCTACATACGTATGTACAATGATAATCTCAAGAGTAGCCACAAAAATCGTCATTATATTGTGATTTCTAGGAAAAGTGGGGGGGGGGAAGATATGCTCTGAGAAACAAACGAGTGTCTATGCAACTACGTATACAAATGTCCACCAGGCCATATAAATATATACAATAATCTCTGTGGTCACTAGTGATATTGCAGTCGATATTGACACGTAACGCTAAGAAAGCCAAGAAGTTACTTTAGAGCAGATTTACAACAAAAACTAATATATTGAGTCGTTTCTGTGTTTAACTTGCATGGTACAGCCATACTGATGCCTGCTTAAGCAATCCACACTACAAACCCGTCTAAATGGGATATCTACCCGCCCTGCTTATTTGCCACAGGAACGCAATATGCTGTTGGGTATTACTAACTAATCCGTAACTTCACATTAAAATAACTAAAAGGGAACCAGTGGAAGTGATGCAAGTGTAACTAAAATGATATGGAAGATGGCCAAATATGGAGCACTGGCCGCGCATAGAAGAGAAGTGCGCGCAGCAGAGGGAAAAGAAAAGATAACATGGTGGATCCGTGCGCCATAATGAAAGCCAGCGCACAGATCCAAAGGAAAAAATTAGACAAAGTTATGCTGTTAGAAGTCAACGGAGGAATTTGGATCATTGACAATAAATGCCTAAAACTCACAGCAAAAATTTGCAGATGATATTTTGTACGTTAGACAACACACGCAACAACGCAACACGTTTATAGCCAATATACACATTTTCGGGAGGCCGGGGGTAGGGGCGGTAGGCCAAAACGTCACAACATTTTCGATTACCTTAAACAGAACTTCTTAACAGAATTTATCACAACCTTGCTTTACTATGTGTATACCTTGTACTTCCACCTAATGTCTGGCACGTTAACTTTTTCAAGTTTTTGCAGAATTAAAGCAGTCAAGCAATTCCAAAAAGGAGTGTGTGTTATTCTGTAACATCAGCTGCCATCTGTGCAAATGGAATAAATACCTCTGATATACACTGGCCATAGATTTTATGTATAATAAATTATAAACTCAGTCTTATTTCTGGGTTTCATTGTGCAAAAGTTTACACGTGGTCTGAGATATACTGTCGCCGGGAACAACTAATCCTGTGCTGACAATTGTACGGGGCGAATTTATGTAGATATAACTATAGACCATTTCTATAATTTTTATTGTCTTTTTGGCTCGAAAAATTGCAACATAATTTGCAATAGAGAGATTTCAGAGTTTCAAGCCATACACCGTCAGTGAGGCTTCTAAAAATTCCGAAGCAGGACCTGATACCAAAATAACAAAAACCACTAGCACTTACATTCCTGGAGCAGCGTATAAAAATAAAAAAAAATAAAAAAAATACCACTGCGTAAAAAATGCACCAAGAATACGCAATTCCACTAGTTTTATATAGCGTACACAGCCGTACGAAAATCCCATCACAACTCCTACAGACAATGAGAGAGAACCACATCTAACGTAAAACCCTGTCGGTTGTACCTTCCTAGTTACTAGATACTACGTGCGCAACTAAAGGACAAATACGTTTTATGGAACCCTCAAACCAGTTAGAATTGGCTAGAACGTGCACACAACTCTACAGCTATTATGATAAGGTAATAGCTTTAACGTGAAGCGGAGACCTCTGTGAAGAATCAACTAAATGGCACTAGCTAGCATTTCCATCAACCTCGACTGAACACTGGAAAATACTAACAACTATATCCACTTAACACTAAGCATTGGCTTGTGATGCACTAAAAATGGCACCATTGGAAAAATAGATACAAAATACATTCATATTATGACAACACGAAAAGTGATATGACAGTTTAAATGCTGAGCAAATCAGAAACTAAAACATTAAAAAAAATCTGCTGGAATATTTTTGAAACACACGGCGGCTAGTTGGACTTGGAATTTACACGTCGTCAAACATTTCCATGCGCCTTAACCAATACTGATCGAACGACGTAGGCTAGTGGAATGCTGTGTTACTGACAAAAAATGAGCTGCTGAGCATTGCTCTATTTTAAAGCGCTAACTACACCTCTACGCTAACACAACGATTTACACGATACACACATTACTACACGACGTGGCTATGCCATCTGATACCAAACACGTGACACGGACTTTAGCCCATCCTGCTTGAAATGTATCCGGAATGGAGAAGCAAGGCTAGACGACGACAAAATTACATGACATCGTACAAAACACCACACACTCGTGGATATGTGAAACGAGTCCAGTTGCACGGAAGAGATCGCCATAGATCGCTAGTCGCAAAAACAAGTCTTAAAGCATTGGCAGTAGCAGCAGCAGCACCAACAGCAGCACCAGCAGTACGGTCAGCGGCACTCTCCCCGGCAACTACGGCAACCGATGCCGCTTCGTGTTCTGCCGCTTCGCCATCTGCTCCTGCATCTGCACCAGCGTCTTGTAGATGATGGCGAACTTGGGCCGCGCGGACGGCTTGCACTGCCAGCAGAGCCGCATGAGCGCGTAGGCGGCGTCGGGCGTGTCGGGAGGCGACGTCAGCACGCGGCCGTCCTTGATGTAGCGTATCACCTCCTCGTGCGACATGCCGTAGTACGGCTGCAGCGCGAACGCGAAGATCTCCCAGAGCACGACGCCGTACGCCCACACGTCCGACTGCACGGTATACTTGCTGTAGTGGATCGCCTCGAGCGGCATCCAACGGATCGGGATCGCGTCGTTCTCGTTGCCCTGGTAGTAGTTCGACGTGAGGATCTTGCGCGACAGCCCGAAGTCGGCAAGCTTCACGATGAGGTTGTCGCCGACGAGGCAGTTTCGCGTCGCGAGGTCGCGGTGCACGAAGTTGCGCGTCGACAGGTAGACCATGCCGGATGCGACCTGCTGCGCGATGTACAGCTGGTTGCGGTGGTCGAGCACAGCGGGCTCGCACGCGCCGCGCCCGCCGTCCGCGCGCTGCTCGTACGGCGAGCAGCATCGCAGGAAGTCGTTCAGGTCGCCCTTGCTCATGAACTCGAAGAGCAGGCACATGGGCTTGCCGACCGCGCACACGCCAAGCAGCTTGATGATGTTCGGGTGCTCGAAGTCGGCCATCAGCGACGCCTCGTGCTCAAAGTCGGCCTGGAGGTCGTTCGACGCCTCCTCCTTGAGCACCTTCACGGCGACGTACAGGTTTTCGACGCCGCGCAGCAGTCCCGGCGCCTTCGCCTGGAAGACGCGTCCGAACGCGCCCTGCCCGATGTCGCGGATATAGACAATGTCGTTGCGCGAGAACTCCATGTCGGCGAGCTTCGGGTTGAGCGTCGACTTGTCGGCGAGGTGGTACTGCGTGTTCGACGGCAGCCCGCCGAGGTCGATCTCAAGGTCGTTCATCGCCGCCGTCTGGTAGCGCAGCCCGCGCGCGCACTTCACCTGCAGCTTGCGGCACACGACGCTCACCATGGCGACGGCGACGATGGCGCCGACCATAGTGCAGGCGATAATGACGATCGTCGTCGGCGACATCGAGTCGAGGGGGCCGCCGTCGGGCGAGCCCCGCCAGAGCGTAGCGTTGTCCAGCGCCGTCGGGTCATCTGGCGGCAGAAACGATGCCGAATGACGTTCAACGCGTCGCGATATTATTTTTTTATGCGACGAGAAAATAGTTCTACATTAAATATTAATTAATTGATAAATATTTAATAAATATTATTTTTTTCATTAATTTTTAAGTAATGGAAGAAATACTAGAAAATAGAATAGAAAATAGAGAGAGAGGTAGACGAGTTACTGCTCACTGTCATGAGAAGTGGAGAATGAGAGCGTGCAGAAAACCAACCCAGTTCAACACACTCTTCAGTGTACACATCCCCATGCACCCCGTCCGATGCTCATAGCAGACATCTCAATCAAAACGGGTATTATGAAGACCTAACCACGAACATTGCTTAACACAACGCAACAAATACTACACTCACCACAATGTGCGATATTGCAGTGCTCCCATCTGTGTTTCGAGTCTTGAGTGAAGCACCAGGGGGAGCTAGTTTCACTCAGTGGATTTCGGCAGAAATTCTCTGCATTTACTAAGCTGGGGTAAACTCCTGGGTAGTAGTTATGTATATTAGGCTCCTGAAAAAAAAACTTGCACTTAAATAAACAAGCAACACAAAGGCACTTCACATTGTCAGTGTGACCGCTAATATTTATGCACACCGAAATATACTGGGATAAATTTTCTTGCAATGAGAGCACGAACACAAGCGTAAAAGAACTTCGTAAGTGTTTCACCTGTTTACTCCATTTCTGGCAAGGCATGCCTGACTTAGTCACATTAACTGTACCAATGTAGAACACTCCAGCATCCTGGAAGCATTTGGCTGAAAAATAGTAAAGTGAACCGTCTCTACTCTACTCATCCAGTATTCAACATTTCCTTATGTAATGGTCGTTGTTATTGAGTCTATGTACTTTCGACCCCCATGTCACTAAAACTTCACACAAAAACGCTCTAGTTAGTTACAAACTTTCAGCTGGTATTGAACAGGATAATATAAACAGGTACCAAGCAGGCAGTGATTGGCGTGCAATGGTGTAGCATACGGCCAAATAAAACAACAGTTGCTCACTTGTTTTACTCGATCGGTCCCACTCGTCATGCCAGTATAGAAACTTGGTGCACATCCCACTGTGCATGCGTGGCAACGTCTCGCAGTCTGGCATTCTGAATCAATTACACAGTTTACTGGTAGCCTGAGCGTAGGGACAGCACTTGCTCACAACGATTCGGGCCAGTAAGAGTGACAAATCATAAATGTTACTAAACGTGGCATCACGGCATATCAATTGACGCCCTTCTATAACTGTGACCTGTAAATAAAATATCAACTCATCGACAATCAACTCACATACTCTCCATTAGTATTGAAATCTCCCTCCCCCATCCCCCTCTCTCTTTCTTTGTCTCCCTCACTTCCTTCCTTTTTTGCGAATATAATCCTCGCTCCCCCCTCACCAAAACTTAATCTGCCACTGCACTCACCTGAATTCACAAGAGTGAAATGAAATCCCCTTCCCCCCTCCCTCTCTTTCTTTGTCTCTCTCTCTCTAAAAAATCTTTCTATGTCTCTCTCACTGCCACTGCACTCACCTGAAGTCACCACGGTTGCGGAGAAACATTCCGTTATTCTTGTTATTGACGACCGTCTGCCACTCGATGCGGCAGAGTGTGTCCCTGACCAGCAGACACTCCTCCCTGCATCATCACGTTAACGACGTCAATATATATATATACCAATTACTACACAATTACAATACTACACCATAGAGTGAAATCTCCCTCCCCTATCCCCACCTCTTCTATTGTTACTGAATGTATGTGCGTGTCATGCGCAGTTTGTGTTTGTATAATAAATGCCACTAGTTGTACGTGGCTCCTGCTAATCAGACGTCCTGTCTTGTTTGTTCACGTAGAACAGAACACCACCCTCTCTTTCTTACACTTACTCACATACACAGTCCGCTCACACTTACATTGTAATAAATAACGACGCGTAAAGTTACGGAAGCGTTGCTAACGGAGATTCACCCAGCACGCGCGCTCGCTCACAGACACAATCATATCACATTGCCAATCACAGAATACTTGTGATAGCACACTGTCTGTCAATGTGAGCTTGGTATTAGAGAGAGCTTCAACAGTAAGAAGGACACATGCACACGTGCAGAATTGAATATGTGTTCGCAGGAGATGGTGAGTGTATAACCGATTTGGTATCTAAGTGTACAGTATGGGATATCTGTGTACAATAAAGGGTATGTTTATAAACGATTTTGCATGTGTCCAGAATGGGGTATCATAGATGACGACTGAAAATGATACAACAAATGAACAGCTTCACCCTTATAATAGCTATTCAGGTGATCGGTTTATACATACTTGCAGAGAGGCTTTGCAACTGGGAAGCCCTTGGATGTGTCACAGTTTGGGAAGGCATACCGACAAAGCATCTTCTCACTTGGCTCCCTACACTTAGCACTTGTTGTTGATAGCAACTCCTCCCAGAGCCCTATAATCACATAATAATAACTATAACAATACTATAATTAATATAATACATACATGTACATACATTGTGATATATAGTAGCAAGCAATGACAGTGATTAAACTGCCACAGAGCAGTATCTCTGCCATTTATACCTCATTCGTGGTTCAGTAGGCATACTAGGCCCATTGATTATGCAATGTTGACGAATCCTAGAGTAACTGGCACCTTGTGTAGTTAATAAGTACATATTTAACCTTACATCCAAACGCGTATTAGTTTGTCCAATATCACTGATGGTTACTAAGAAATGTCTAATTGAAATCCGCAGTCCAAGAAATGTTTACAGTTTACAGTTTCACTTTCAAACCACTGCCAGCGAAGCAGGTGTGATACAGATTTATAGTGCACTGGACATTTTTGCACGCATGCTCGGCCGTACGCAATGCTATCATCAGTGATTTCGTAAACACGGACGCTCGTGATAAGGAACTTTTTGTCAGAGCTGTGCATGTGCGTCCGTGATTAGTACGTGTGTTTTACTCCATTTCCATGTTTAGTCTGTGGCCGTGTTTACACCGCTGACACCTCCATTTCATCTGGCGTCCAAAACATACGGGACGCACAAATGTTTACGTCATCGCTTGAATCCTGGATGACATTTACGGCACGTAAATGAATATCAACAACCGATTACAAGTCTTGCTTGTAATGTAACCAGCAGTGATATTAGCCAAACTAATACGCGTTTGGCTATAAGTTTATGTACTTATTAACTACACAAGGTGCCAGTTACTCTAGTATTCGTCAACATTGCATAATCAATGGGCCTAGTATGCCTTTAAAAAAAGAAAAACAGTACGGGGTAATAAAGCGCTAAACTGGTAATAAACACGCATGAGTCTGACAGCTACCATACAGCGAGATACTAAAACATGTAAAGTCGTGGCCACACTCCCAACATGCTGACATAGCTCTCCCATTCTTTCTTCCATGTTATTTTTTACGTTATAATTCATCACGAGAGTAATAGTATATATAGGCAGCAGCTCACCTTTCGTCGTGTTTTCCTGCACCTGCGCAGGATCTTCGTACATTGAGCTGAGGAACACCTCCTGACCGCCGAGGTAGTTTCTGCAGACGGTGCCGTTGTACACGGCGCAGACGCCTCGCAGTGCCGCCTCCTTCGTAACGACGGTCGACGTGCTGCGTGAAGTGAATCGAGATGGACGTTAGGACGCCATGACAGACGAACGATCATGTGACGTTGCGTATGAAGTGCTCGATTGTGTGAAGTACTCACACGTGGAAATATTTGACTATATAAGAGGCTGCAGCAAAAACGTGCCTACAGATGCTAGATTGACTGGTCTTCATTGCTAATGTGCTAAGAAACAAGCAACAAGTAAAGCACATTCTCTTACACACCACCATGGAATCAATATCAATTAGAGTACATAAAGCGGACAACCACTCATTTTGACCAGATTTTTTAATGTGCAATTATACTCAGATGTTTTAAACTTTAGGAACTACGCATTATATTTATTTACATTATGTTTCAATTATTATTTATATAACTTTTGCCAATTCAGCTTCGTTGACTAACATAATTGCATAATAGCACAGCGGGACAAAATACCAATGTACACTTAACAGTATTGCCTAATCAGTTAAATCAAGAAACAGACATTCCGAAATCTATGCAAAACTCAACTTTACTCAAGCGGGAGATTACTATTTGAATGTGTTCTAACATAAGAATATTTCTCTAACCAACCTAGCATGATTATATAGCCAGTAAATAAATTAACGCTTAAGCTTGTTAATGTATTCAAGAGTACATAATAGGAGATACATATTATGTACATCTCCTATTATGTACTCTTGATGTATTACTACATGGCCTAAAGGCACACCCACTGACCACATGTTACTGCTACTGTGTGACACAGTGGGCTCCTGACCTGCATCAGCTAGCTGCCGCAAGTAGACACAACTGCTGTTTCGCTGACTGATGCCTTTTTTATCGTTATGACAGATAATAATGCCGAATTTCCATGTAATCAAACATGATTACATCACGCACACGAGAATTAGACCCACAGCACAGTCTTTCCATAGGGACATTACTCCTGCACTTGTTCATGTTGGTTGAACGTGGATAGATGGAACGCAAGAATCATAGCATTTTTTCCTCTGTTTGATACCAATCTTCCGCATTCAGAAAATATACGTTTATGTAAAAAAAATGTTTTTTTCCAGTATCTCTTTTTACCTCAATAAAGGTACTCTCCCCCAATTCCGTCCCTCGTTTTTGAACTCCGTCTACTTCCTGCCCCTCTATCTCGCCCCCATTATGGTATATGAAATGTGTAATTACAAGTAATATGATAATCTACACACCTGGCAGGGGTTGCTGTAGGTTGAATCATCGGCGGCACATGAAAAGAAACGAAACCAGTTGCGATTTAGAATACGTTCAGATAACAGCCAGACAATTAATATCAAATTAATATAACTATGTGCCGACACCTATACATGTACAGATGACTAGAGGCCAGGCTGCTGAACATGCGCTCGCACCCACGCACGCACGCACCCACGCATGCACACGCACGCACGCACGCACGCACGCACGCACGCACGCACGCACGCACGCACGCACGCACGTACACACGCACACACGCACACTAACAAACATCTAATAACACACGAATGCACACGCAGATATAGCCACGAGGCAGGTAGTCAGGTATTAGGGACATCACGGCTCTATCTTTCGAACATATGTCGCGTTGGAAACATCCACAAATCCCATCACAGCGGAGCCGCGCGTATCTCTCGCATCAATCAGTCGCACGTGGCAGATTGGTTAACATCTCGCGTGTTTCTCGGTCATTTGTCGCAGGCTTCCTCCGAACAAAGGAAGGGTCGGATGCAGCTGCGTGGAGCTAATACGGTAATGCGAACACACGCAGCGCCTACCCTCCTCCCCTCCCGGTCGTAACTCGGCAAGGGAAACATCGAGGCAGATGGGTACACACGAGGCGGCGGCAATCGCAGGAGCAACTTGTTGCGGAGGCTGACACAGAGTGTGATGGATGGTTGCGTCAGGCAGCAGCGAGCACGAACGCCGGATGAATAAACGTCACTTGCACGCGTAAACAACAGTGTCTGTTTACTGTACGGGACCCGGTATCCCCCCTTGTGCTGTCAAGCGTTGAGAAACGCCGATGCACATACTACTATACAACCGTATAGCTGCCGCCTATGCCTCTCTAAGCCGCTCCCATACCGGGCAAGGGAACCTCTCCTATGACAGCCGCTCTCACACTACCCGCTACCCGCTACAACTACGATCACCGCTGCTGCCGTCAACGCACGTATGCATAATATAACAGCAGGTGGGAACAGCCGAGCAGGAACAACTGCCGGTGCCTCGCTTCACTTCATACGATATCCACGCGACTACACTCACCCGTCCTCTCACTTCGATGTAAAATATACACGTTGACAAATATGTTGTGCTCCGCCGGCTAACGTGTTTGGCGAAGCGCATTATCTTCTATAATTAAAGTTGAGAGGATAGCAGATGGCAAAATTTCGAACTAATCAACAATGAAAAGCCATCGTATCCGAAGCGTATCATAACAAACCCGAAGTTATTTCAATAAGTGAATTGTGTTACACAAAAATATATACTAGTATATTAGGAAAAATATATATATACTAAGAAAAAAGAAAATTTGGAACATTTATACTCATGTAAGGTATATAGAGGGTATAATACAGGGGAACGAGTAGAAGATTGGAAAAGTGATGACCCGAAAATACTAAAACCAGCACTAGAATATGTTAGAAAGGCATTATCAATTAGAGAAAGGAAAATAATTAATGCTAACTTGTAGACAGAATTTCCTTATCTACAGGATTTCCCCGCACATTCCAAGAGAATCAGTGCCTTGTGAAATACAAGAGAAGGACCCCAAGATACAAGATACAAGATACAATAGTAAAAGTATACGTCACCATAACATATTCCTGATGTGGCTAATAATGAAACTGTCAATGAAACTGTAGCTCACCTTGGGTGTGATAGAAGAGGGAGGGGGATATATAAAGCAAGAGTATATATGGGAGATAGTATATATCTCCGATTATATACTCTTGATAATGATATATGCATAAGTTTTGATGTGAAAATAAATGTTTCAGATCTGAAAGTCTGAAATCTTGACGAGAGATGGCGCTACGCCTAAATGATCACCATTTGGGTTTTCGAATATCGCGCAAATAAAAACAATAAAATATTCCAGTCAAATTACTGTAACGAAGAATCTAAAACATAATATTACACGTATATAGGTATGATTGTAGTTGTTAACCAGTTAGACGAAATAAACGTAATAGGACATTGTCATCTCTCCCATAGGAGTAACAACTGTTTTGGGGCATTCACATACCAAAATTTAACAAAATCGAATGAATTTAGATGGCCATTTTCATTTTTGCCAAAAAGTGGGCGTGGCTCGAAAGTAGGTCGACTGACTTGCTCCAAAATAGGACGTTCAAATCTCTCCCATAGGAGTAACAATTATATGCAATTTGAAACATGTGGGTCAAACGGTTGTTGAGTTATCGTTGACCGTAGGCAGACACTGAAATACATAGTGAAATTGCCAAAATCTACCTAATTTTCATAATTAAAAAAAAATCAAAACCTGTGTGATATGTTTTGGGGCCAGTCCTCGTTCATTCACATACCAGAAATAAACAAAATCCATTGAACCTGAACTGAATTATGGCCATTTCCATTTTTGCCAAAAAGTGGACGTGGCTCGAATGTAGGTAGACTGGCGTGTTCCAAAATAGGACGTTCAATCCTCTCCCATAGGAGTAACAACGATATGCAATTTGAAACATGTGGGTCAAACTGTTCTTGAGTTATCGTTGACCGTAGCCAAATGTTGATCGACGGACGGACGGACGGACGGACGGACGGACGGACGTACGTACGACGAACGACACCCCATGGCAATAGCTCATCTTGACAATGTGAGATTATTATCACGGTGAGTTCATGCAATATTAAAAATAGCGTACATGTAAATCTGCCGTCAATACATTAACTTAATGATACGAACAACAAACCATCAATGAATACCAACATACGCGATGACTAGTAACCTGATAATATACGAACACTAACATAACCCAATGAACATTAACATAAGGAAAGAACACTTAACAAAAAAAAGAAGAATACTAACACAATAAATTAATGAACGAACAAGTAAATTCGCCAATGAATACCAACGTAAGTAACGATTTACTTCGCTTATACCTAATGTGTATTACTTACACACAATCCTAATCTAATCTACACGCGTAACTACTGTCTGCAGCAAACTCATTATAACAATCCAGCCGATAACACGTGTACTACCAGTGGTAGCACTGAGCAGCTGTTAGCAGCTACAGGTAGTAATTGCACACGAAGTAATTATACAAAACACAGACTGCTCTCATCGCTCCCACGACGCCGATGAAATCCTATCCCATCGCTTCACGTTGATGATCTTACACAAACGTACGCAAGAAATTCGCTAAGCAAATATTTAATCTGTGAGAAGTGAGCATGTGGTACTAATAAACGCCGGATTCCGTTAGCATCACAGCATGTTAGCATCACAGCATGTTAGCATCACAGCATGTTAGCATCACAGCATCCACAGCGATGGGAAATATATAACGGAGACGAAGCCAGTGCAGCTCACGATGTATGATGGCAAGCTACACATCGACGTACGCCGGTGACATGACGACAGCGAATGCTGATCTGTGTTCGTAAAGTCTCACCGAGGATATAGATGCACACATACACGCACTCCCACAAAGCACGCGCGCACACACTCCCCTCAGGAGCTTCCTGTAGCTAGCGAGGATAATATGCTTTCTGACGTACGTAGTACGCACACGCACGCACTTCTGAATACGATGAAGCCTCCATCATACAATCCGCTATCGCACCCCAACAATCACAGCAGGAGAACAAGCCGAACAAGCGCACCGCCCCTTCAGAGCAAATGAAAGTAAACGCTCTACGCCTCCTCTCCCAACACACTACTAACCAAGGCACAGGTCACAGACCAGCAGCACGGCTGCCCACCGCACCAGCAGCAGCAGCAGCAGCAGCATCCTACACCGGCAGCCTCCTGTGTGTAAATGAAACGAACCTTTGTCCAGCTGGCTCGCTGCCGCGTCGTTTCCCCCTACTGCAGCATGGGTAATGAAGGCCAGACCGTGCCGCGCGACCAGAGAAGGGTTCCTGGTTCACACCCAGCCGTAAAGTGGCTGTCGGGCGCAAAATACTCACTCGGGTAACATTACACCCAAGACTACCGAGCAGCGTACCAAGGAGCGGACGCTGGGAACTGGAAACTGTAAGATCATCCTCCCCGTGAGACCGGCAGCCACCGCCGATCATGAGATCAGCGAAACTACAAACGCGGCTATACCGCCGCGGCGCTGCAGCCGATAAGGCGGCACTTTTGCCGCCCCCGTGCCTTCTTCTCGCTCTAATAAGTGTAGGAGGAGTAAACTACACCCTCTACATACACGCGCGGGTGTCTTTTGGAAAGCGACTTAACGTGTTTATATCGGGGACTGACTGACGCAGGAGGAGGAGAAGGAGAGACGCGATGGCCGACCCAGCGTAACCAGTAGACACTCTAAGACTCTCTAATCGCGCGTTTGCACATTGGTGTCTTTTTTTAAATCAAGCTAATCAATGTATGTTTACGCCGGCGTACACGCGTAGACGGAAGGACAGATCAGGGTGCGCTGCAGACGCGACTGCCTGCCTGTCCGGCAACAATGTGCACGCACGCACGCACTATCGCACGCACGCACGCACTATCGCACGCACGCACGCACGCGCAGACTACTTATGTCATTCGCATCAACGGCGGAAACTGTCAGAACTGGTTTCGTGATGGAGACAATCGAGGGAGCAATGCTAGGAGCCTTGGTGCTTGGCTGTTATAGTTAGTTGATCAGGGCTGCTTCCCTCATATCGCAAAGTAAGCACTGGACTATACTGTGTAGTAAAATACAAGATCTAGGCATGCGTGATGTAACGATCGAACCCTCTCGCTCAAGCTGTCTCCTCCCTGTGGGTGTTCCATGCCTCCTCTTATTGAGTGGCTAAGCTTCCTCTATGTACGACGGGAGAGGTATGCCGTAACTCCGGGGCTGAGCAATTAAACCTCCTCCCAACACTAGATGACCCTGGTGGCAGTGGCTCGACTACATCTTCTCAGCCTCCTCGTGGACTACTACTCACACGCGGGGCCGGCAGGCCAAGACAATTTATACATTAAACCCTCGGCCCTGGTGGATTTCCTGACTACAAATCTCCAAAACTATTAACTACGTACTGACAACAACAACAACAACAACAACAACAACACCATGAACAACAATGACGACAGTAGCAGCAACAATAACAACAACAGCAACAACAACAACAAAACCAGCAGAAACCTACTACAACAACGACAACAACAACGATAGCAACAAAAACTACTACGACGACAACAACAACAACAACAACAACAACAACAACAACAACAACAACAACAACAACAACCACAACACGTACCATATACATCAGCTGGCTAGATGCTCTCACTGACCACGGTCGCCGTACAACCACGACAGCGCAATAAAGTCTACTCTCACGTCAAACGCACATACACGTCATCGCAGCTGAGACACGGGTTGCGCCAATACTTACTGCTGAACGCTGCCATGACGACGGCCCGCGACACCACAACACAGAGCGACAGTGCGAGGTGCCTCGTCCGCCACCCTCCCCTCGTCCTCCTCACCCACATCCTAGTACCGTGCACTGCACTCACGCACCGCTCAGCATCTCCCTCCGAGTAGCAAAGACGCCGCACACAGAGGATTTTCCCGTTACATGGCACGCGCACACGCGCACGCACGCATGTACGTACGTACGTACGCTAGCCGGCCGGTGACTAATATGAACACCGGGGGCTACGGACACGCTCTGCGATGCCTGCCCTGCCCTGCCATACTACACAGCACACAGCGGCTAGCTGCTATAGCTCGCAGTCAATAAATGTAGAGAGGGAGAGAGAGAGAGCGAGAGAGAGAGCGAGAGAGAGAGCGAGAGAGAGAGCGAGAGAGAGAGCGAGAGAGAGAGGGAGAGAGAGAGCGAGAGAGAGAGAGAGCGAGAGAGAGAGCCGCGCGTCTCGTGTTCGTGTTTCACAATGCCGATGAAAAGCGAGCGAACTGCGGTACTAATTTACAACGGGTGGGCAAGGCCCTCGTGAAAGCCCTTTGTCCGCTGCGTGCGAGCAGGCACCTGGTCGCTGCAGTTTTACGAAAATTATAACGAAATTCTCCGCTACGAGACAGAGCCGAATGCCAAGCCCGATCAGAACAGTAACTATAGTAGTCGGACAGCGAGAACGCGTTGCTAGACACGCATCTCCAGAATGGCCGTCTCATCCCCTCCCGCGTACGTGAGCGAAATAACTAGATGTGGTGAATGATAGCGTTTTATGCCATTTCTCGCGTTTATTACACTTTCATGCGAACAAAAGACGCCTTCACGCGGCAGGTGAAAATTGGTCTGCCCGATGCACGTGACCTACATCGCTGCATGAAGATAATCTTTAAAAAAGCTCATGTGGTTTCAGATGCTGCGGATATATTTATGTTTATCATTAAACTGATGTTAATCTCGTAAAAATTCAAACATATTAGGTAATTGCATTTCAGAAATTTCTTATCTCTCATTCTTTCTTTCTCTCTGTCATGATATACATCAATTCAAGATGTAATGTTTAACATTGTTTATTACAACGTACCTTCAGTTATTCAAAGGGATTACACGCACGCACGCACGCACGCACGCACGCACGCACGCACGCACGCACGCACGCACTCACACACGCACGCAAGAACACACACTCGCACATACACGCACGCAAACACACAAGCACGCGTCTCACACAAAATGATCAAGAACTTTTAACAGTTGACTAAACATTGGTACATCACATAAGTAGTGCCTTTTGAGGCATACAGAAAATGTTCTATGACAGTATTCGTACAAGGAGGGTAATGAAGGGAACTAATCAATAAATATCATAAAATATAATATTCTATCCTCACTTGCATTATCCACACGTTTTTCAATTAATTATTTATTGTTTAAAGCTTATTCAGCACTGAACTTTATGGCTATCCTCTACTAGCCTGTAGCATCTATATTCTATAGGCGCCACACAACAGTAGCCTTCTGCAAATTGTTCACCGTTGCATTATTTTGCCTCTGTAAAACGGACGTTTTATTCAGACGTTCAGGACGTTTTTGTTATGTGGTAACGTTCGGCATGAGAGTGTACTGATTAGAATTGTACATGTAAGGTAGATGCCTTACAGACACCTAGAAAACATGGAAAGTGAAATTGGTAGTATTGTGGGAAATTAGTCAAATTACGCCATTCTGCCAAGTGATTTAGCCATGGTGACCAAACCATGTAGTTTGTGGATCTAGAAAACTTGCTGGAAATTTACATAATGTAATTTTAATTAATTTTTGAGACATGTTTATTGAAGCATGCTGTCTATGGACGCCAACTACTGGTGAATTCCACGTACAGAGAGGTGTATAACGAAATGCACAGCAGATATTATGAGCGAAAGGCTACACGGTGGCGCCATCTGTTGACCGATAGCATGAAAATCTAATCACAGAAATTTTCACGCACCGCTGATGTTCACTCTTGAACTCGGATGTTGGCCCTACGACAGATTGAAGATAACGTCCTAATGTGGAGGCTGAGACATAGCATACCTCACAGAGTATTTCAGTAGTGGAATACCACAACGTTGCACCACACAGGCACTCTAGTGTACTGAACCGGGTAATGCCATACTCTAGTCACGAACAAACTAGCTAGTAGAGATAGTGGACACATATACTTACTGGTGAGTGGTTCGACATATACTCTACAGGATGCAGTGACAATAGTAGTGTTTCGCACATGATGGTTGGACGCCTCACAGCTGTAGTTTGCTGGCTCTGTTGCATTAACGTACAGCATCGACTTTCTATATATGCTCTGTGTCTCCTTGTCTTTTATCTGCAAATGACATCAGAGTCTAAATCCTCTTCAACCGAGGGCAAAAAATAGGTACTCCTATTCAAAGAGGAAGGAAATTTATATTTAAATACATAATGTCACCACACACACACACACACACACTCTGTTCCTATGTTCACTTCTAAGCAGACTTAGATGTGAAAATCGCCAGACGGACGCAGTTTCACACATTCCTATTGCATCATAGTTTTTATTCACATACAAAGTGCATAATTGCTGCCAGATCTTTTTTTGGGGCCAAATAGCAAAAAAATGTCAACTGCACATTATTTCGGCATTTTTGTCAGATGAGGTATTAGAAGTAATTTATGGAATGGCTTAGTGCTACCACTTACTAGCACCCCATCCTTGAACCAGCGGATGGTCGGTTCTGGATATCCCACTGCCTGGCACTCCAGATGAACAACATCCCCCCAGCGTACGAAACGGTCTGTTGGCGCATGAATGATAGTAGCAGGAGCTGCAGAGAATCCAAACAAGCTTCTTTGTAACGAGTATGCAATTTTTCAGCCAGAAGCTACAGACCGAGAACGTTTATTAAGTCTGAGACCTATATTATTCTATTGTAAACAAAAGCTAATATCTGATAATTTAGAAACATATAGGTATATACTATTTTTACACAATAAGTATCGCAATATCTCGGTATTATTCCTCTTTAAAGTGATTACGTCACCGTAAATAGTAAAAAATAAAAAAAATATTTCCACAAAATATAAGTAATTCTGTTCACTTTTTATGGTTAAATTGCTGCATTATACTTCTTATTTTACTATATTGTTCGATGTGAACATACACTCGTGACGCATACATAGCCCATAGCAAGCAATTAATGTCAGGAACACTAATTTCAAATCGACCAGGTTTTTTTGGATTTTTAACTAGTTGAGAAACAATCTTATCAGGAAAGAATTTGACGATACGTTTAGTTCTTACTTTTAATGTAAAAAAATGGCAACAAAAACTTTAAACATTTTACCATAGAAAATTCGTGACGTAGTCAATTTAAAAGAGTTTGATATTTTTGCAACCATTTTCAGTCTCACACAGACACCAACAAACTAACAAAATAACTGATATGATACTTACATCTACATTGCTAAATGTAAATGCATGCGTGCATGCGTGCGTGCCACCACCATCACCAAAACATATACCTTGAACTTGGACAAAGGCTGATTCAGAGGTTACTGATGGACCATTTGGTTTCCTTGCTTGGCATTTGTACCATTGTTGATCTGCAATCTGCACCTTAGCAAAGTTTAGTGTCCCATTTTTCATCAATCTGTGATAACATACATGAAAAAACATCGTTTGATCAAAACAATATCAAAATAAGTTCACTCTCAAGATCTTCAGACCACTAAACACATTAAAAAAATTCAATTATAACATATACACATTCCTTCATATATATTCCTCGTTTGTATAAAGCTCTTGAAGAGAAAATACATCATCAACCTGTAGGTCTACTATGAGTAAAAAAATACCCTTTCCTCTAAACTCCTATCATGGATATATATATTATCAAGACCTCATAATACCTAGGGATTATTGGCTCTTGATACTATGTAATATTAATTTATGATTTGTCTGTCCTATCTTCTCTGACATTCACATCTGGTTTTGGAACATACGCTACACTATAATGGATAGCTTCTGTTTAGACTGTTTCACTAACACTTTCACTGGTCAGGGGCGTGTACAGGTGGGGTAGCAGGGGGGGG